AAACCCACGAGCACAGCTGAGCACAATTCTTAAAGGGATGGCGGTCACTCCTGCTGGCTGTCCCATGCCCCTTGATTCTGCAGAGAGCTTGCAACAGGGGCTCATCCAAGGTCAACCTCCAAACTCCACCTCAGACATGAAACAGAGTCTGAAAGAGCCCAGAAGCCCAGGTCCTTACAAGGTCAGAGTGACCGTTAGTGTTGACGACTGCATACACTGTAAGGTGACCACGTGACTGCACAGAGGGACTCACCCGCCACGGGCCACCCACCGACTATGGCTTCTCCTGCCTTGAATGAAGTCCTCAGGTGTGCATTCCAGTGAAGTATCCAGGACATTATGTCTAGCTCTACAATAAGCCACAGCCATAAGCAACATCAACAGCTTTTAAACACCAGACGGCTACGTAGCCAATATGTCAAGATCTGAGGAAAATACTCAGTTTGCTACCATTACCCATCCTAGAGGCACTCACTTCTGACTGGAGGACACTGGACTAGCAGGAACACATACCCTGAAAGCAAAGATGTTTCACTTTGGCAAGTGGAGAGGGCGCTGTTGTCACCATGATGTGATCATCTAAAGGAGACTCCCTACCTGCAGATGCTGGAGAGACGCCTGCTTGCTTCTCAAATGCACAGAGGAGAAAGTGACGATCTGAGCTAAGGCTGGGAATGCTCTATAGCTCTCCATAAGGAATCACCCAGTGGTGGGGTGGGCATCTTCACAATGAGTTGCCTGGGAATATGAGATTCAGTGGACATCACGTGGCAAGAAAGGCTTCTGGGATTCAGACAAGCACATTTCCCAAATGACCCTAAGGACAACCCCAACACAATCTCCATGTAAATCCCCTGTCCCACGAATTCATGCCAGCCAGTGTGCCCCCCCTCCACCCACCCCTGTGGCCACTGCCCTCTGACTTCAGACCTTTGCTATCCTGAATAAAGCCTCCCGCACCTCAGTCAGAGTCTGCAGCTCCACCCCAGGCCCCAGCATCAGGCTGGGAATTCAGCAAGCCTCAGAGGCCCCCAGCAACTCCCCGGCCTCACAAGGCCTTCCTGTTCAGAGGCAATGAGGAAGTCTCGGTGCCTACCAAAACCAGTTCCTCCCCACAGGGCCAGTGCCCTCACTATCACCATTGGAAACTGCCCCCTCTAAATCACTGATTCAAACACTCCACACTGGCCACCCCTTCCCCCACTTCAGTTCTCTGGGGATAGTTTCTCCTAGATGTCTCACAGGCACCTCCAACCCAAAGTGACGGAAACTGAGAGGAGTCAGGAGCACTGTCATGCGTTTTACACAGTTTAATAGCTTGGGCAGATGAAAGCAATCTGGGGTCTTTCATCTGTGGGAATTTTGGCATTGGGAGGAGGTTGCTGATGAAGTCCTGTACAGCTCTGAAACTCAGGAATTCTTACTCCTCCTTCTCCTCCTTCTCCTCCTCCTCCTCCTCCTTCCCCCCATCACCACCACCTCCTCCTCCTCCTCCTCCTGCTCCTTCTCCTCCTCTTCCTCCTCCTCCTCCTCCTCCTCCTCGGGTTGGGGCATTTCTTCTACTTGAGAGTGGGTGTCATCTTCCAACTCCAAGATCCATCTGAGCTGCTCATCCTTTTGCAGTGCCCTCTTCACGTGTTCTGGAGTGATGCACACCCTGTGGCTGTTCTCAGCCTCCTTGCCCAGCCTTCTCCAGGATGTTGGCTGTCAGGTACTCGAGAACACCAGCCGGGAAAACAGGTGTGGTTGAGCTCAGGCGCCGGGCCTACTGACCTTCTCGCAGGCAGCGTTCCAAGCGGCTGGCAGGAAACTGCAGCTCTGCTCTTCTGGAACGGGAAAGGCGTTGTCTCCTAGGCCTACGGAGCGTTTGTTTCCAGCCATGAGGATTGCTGTGTTTTGCCCCAATTGGCACAGCTTGATTTTCCTGCTGGCCTGAGCCTGTCAAGGTACCAGTGCTTATTGCTGCCCACTGTATCCCTATGCTGCAGCCCCGCATTGGTCAGGGGTTGCCTTTGTGACAACCTCCACTTTTTGATGTCATTGGTGTCCATTGGTCTCTGATCAGGCCTCAGCCTAGAAAAGCCTATGAGAGGAACCTGGTCACCCTAGTAATGGGAACTTCTTTTTGAGAGGGACCTGGTTGCCCTAGTAACTGGAGCTTCTTTTTGAAAGGAACCTGGTCGCCCTAGTAACTGGAACTTCTTTCTGAGAGGAACCTGGTCGCCCTAGTAACTGGAACTTCTTTCTGAGAGGAACCTGGTCGCCCTAGTAACTGGAGCTTCTTTTTGAAAGGAACCTGGTCGCCCTAGTAACTGGAACTTCTTTCTGAGAGGAACCTGGTCGCCCTAGTAACTGGAACTTCTTTTTGAGAGGAACCTGGTCGCCCTAGTAACTGGAACTTCTTTTTGAGAGGAACCTGGTCGCCCTAGTAACTGGAACTTCTTTTTGAGAGGAACCCGGTTGCCTTAGTAGCTGGAACTTCTTTTTAAGGAAAGGCTCATATTTTATTTTAACATTTTAGCAAAAAGTTGTCTCAATGAAAGTATTGTCCCGTCTTTAGGACACCACTCCAGATTCTTTAAGTTTAGCCTTGCATTGTCTGTGAGCTAATTTACATTCCCCCTAGAAGCTGTAAGTCACTTACAGTAGTGTTCACTGCCTTGCCCCCGATTTTGCCTCCCTGTATACATTTACTTAAACATTCATGATCAATATTCCTATGTTTATTCTTTGAATTGTCTTTTGAATGGCTTATAATATCTGAAAATTTCCTCATGAGTTAACCGATTGTTTCAATGCATTTCCATATCATAGGTGTTTCAGTATTATGATTTTACTCTGTTGGAAAATATCTTTTACCTGTTTTTAAAGGTCACAATGTTATACCCAGTGGATTCATCTGTCAGAGCTAGGCAAACTTGGTGACAGAGATGTGTACCTCATGCTCGGTTAAACCCAGCAATGTCTTTGCTTGCCTCATCTAGGTGACTCCAAAGCCCAAATAGGTCTTTGTTCATTGTGTTTTTCGAATTTTAGTTTCAACATTTAATTTTGATTTCAGTATTTTTCTCTACCAATTTTGTATTTTTTGTTGTTGTTATTGTTGTTGTTGTTGTTCATCGATATTAGGTAACTTATTTGCATTGTTGACCAAATGGTTGGGAATTCAGTTTTAGGATCCGACCATCTGGAGAGTTGTGTAAATGAGTTAATGATTCACAGAAATCCAGTCTGTGGTGTAAAAGACAACAGAAAATCTGGTTTGACAGTCTTTTTATTTGTCCATTTGTCTATTTGTGGCTCAAATCAATTAAGAATTTTATACTCTCTTAGAGGAGAACTATATATATATTTGGATCAGAGAACTTTACTGTTTCTATTTACACTTGACTCATGGTTGAAATTGTGGAACTGAAGCTCTAAGCTCTATTTCTCTGTGCCTATATGTCTATGTGCTTGTAATTCTGAAATAACTCCACCTCTGATTGTGTGATTATGTAAAGTTTTCCTGCCTCTGGATGGTATTGACGTATTGGATTATAAAGTCTCTTTTGCTTACATAAATTAAATATTCCCAAATTCCTCCTGTCTCTCCACAGGGCTCAGCAGGATGTGGTTCTCACAGCCAGTGGCCTAAGTCCCCAGCGGTCACCTGAGAACCAGGCCCACTGCACCTTAGGGAAGCCTGCCTACAGGTCTGCTGTTAGGGAAGAAAGGAGATGCAGCTGTTTATTAAGGGCGACCTTGTGCATGCACCGTGTGGAGGAGCCGTTCATGGGCACAAGTAGACTCAATCTTGGGAAAACCCACAGATGGAGAGACTCTTATTACCCCCATTTTACACTCAGAGGTAGTAATTGAAGGTCTAATATCACATGTCCAGGAAGTGGTGAACTGGGATCTGAAACCCAGGCCCTCAGCTCCCACTGTGGGAGCTGCCTGTGCAGCCTCTGACCAATCCTCTGTGAAAGGCCAGCAGGCAGCAGACTGTGGCACCCAAGGACCCAAGGAACAGGTGGAAACCTCAAATGCGGGCATTCACAGGCAAGGGGACAGATTGCACCAACGTTTGATGTGACACCTCTTTTAAACTTAGCACAGAGCAGGAAGTTTTGAAAAGGATTGCACATGCTTTAGAGGCCGTCACTTGGGACAGAATTATTTCTATACCTCTTAAAACATGTATTGAGTCACTAATAATTCTTTGGTGCTCTATGCAATATGTAGTAATTATAATGAATAGGTATTTAATTTAAAAATGAAATTGTTAATTGTGTTTTAAATGAAATACATATATAATTAAGCTGATTCATTAATAATTAACAACCATTAAGAACTTCTTGAATTGCCCATCTTAGGCCAGATCATAAGTTTTATGTATTATTATGATTTATTTTACCAGTGTCCTGAAGAGAGGACAGAAAGATATATTCACAGCACTAGCTACTAATCCCTGTCTCAAATCCTCTTTCATAAGAAGTCAGGGCATAAAGAAATAAGAAATGAAATCCAGCAGGCCATCATTTCTTTTTTGCATTTTTCATCATGGTTTCTCCTTCACTCTCAATCTCCATGTAAAGTCCCTATCCCATGAACTTCATGCCAGCCAGTGTGCCCCCTCTCCACCCGCCCCTGTGGCCACCACCCTCTGCCTCCTGCACCTCAGCCAGAGTCTGCAGCTCCACCCCAGGCCCCAGCATCAGGCTGGGAATTCAGCAAGCCTCAGAGGCCCCCAGCCAACTCCCCGGTCTCACAAGGCCTTCCTGTTCAGAGGCAATTAGGAAGTCTCGGTGTCTTTATCCCAGCCAGTTCCTCCCCACAGGGCCCGTGCCCTCTCTGTCACCGTTGGAAACTGCCCCCTCTAAATCACTGATTCAAACACTCCACACTGGCCACCACTTCCCGCCCCCCCTACTTCAGCTCTCTGGGGATAGCTTCTCCTTGATGTCTCACAGACACCTACAACCCAAAGAGACGGAAACTGGAAGGAGTCAGAAACATACTCATGGATTTACATCCTTTAGTAGCACTTGTTGATGACAACAGCAGATATTCCTCAGCTGTGACACATTTTTGCCCTGGCTAAGCCTGTGAGGATCCCCTCAAGGCTCTGGGACCCAGTCTTCAGTCCTTCTTTCCGGATTTGGGCATCTCATCAAACACAAAGCGGGTTCCATCACTCTCAGTGCGGTGGGGCTCATGGTGGTTGTCCACTTCTCTCTCCCCATCTTGTGAAGTGTTGCGCATTCTGCCATTGTTGATGACCTCCAAGCCTACCTGCTCCATGATGTAGTCAGCAAGGCAATCGAGCAGGGTAAGGAGGATATTTATTGTGGAGGAACTCTGGCTTTGGGCATCTTGTTCATCTTGCACAACTCGGTCCACGAAGCTCATAGGGACCCGCAGCTCATTTCTAGACCGGTCTTGAGTCTGGTTGTTATTTGTAGAGGAGTTCTTACGGTTATTTTTCTCTGACATGATATTTGCTGGGTTTGGCTCTGATCAGCTCTGCTTGATTCTCCAGCTCATGTAGGTCTCTGAGGACACTGGTGCTGCCTATTGTATCCCTCTGCTCCAGGCCCTGATTGGTCAGGGAGCTAGTTGCCTTTGTGACATCCGTAGGCTTTGTGATTTCATTGGTGTCCACTGGTCCCTGATCAGACCTCAGCTTAGAAATGTCTGTGACACTGATCTAGTCACCCTAATGACTGAACCCTGATTTTGAGGGAACTATAACTCTCTACCTGATTTTGACATTATAAAAATAAAAGTGTTTTTCAATGGAAAACTTTGCTCTATCTTTAGGACACCACTGCAGGTTATCTGATTCTAGCCTTACATTATCTGTGAAGTCTTTCATAGCCTTTTGTTAGTTGTAGGCTGCTGATACATGTACAGTATATTCTTTAGTAGAGTTTCAGTTGGTCTTCACCTCATGAAACCAGTTTTGCCTCCATGTGCACAATCATTTAATATTACTGATGAATATTCCCATATTGACTCTTTGGTTTCCCTTTAGAAGCAGTCATAACATCTTTTTCTTTTAGCATGTGTTCATTTCGTATCTGTATGAGTGTCATGATTTTACCCTATTTGAAAAATGCATTTTATTTATTTATTTTTTTATTTTTATTTTTTATTATTATACTTTAAGTTCTAGGGTACATGTGCACAATGTGCAGGTTTGTTACATATGTATACATGTGCCATGTTGATGTGCTGCACCCATTAACTCATCATTTACATTAAGTATATCTCCTAATGCTATCCCTGCCCCCTCCCCCCTCCCCACAATAGGCCCCGGTGTGTGATGTTCCCCTTCCTGTGTCCAAGTGATCTCATTCTTCAATTCCCACCTATGAGTGAGAACATGCAGCGTTTGGCTTTCTGTTCTTGCGATAGTTTGCTGAGAATGATGGTTTCCAGCTGCATCCATGTCCCTACAAAGGACATGAACTCATCCTTTTTTATGACTGCATAGTATTCCATGGTGTATATGTGCCACATTTTCTTAATCCAGTCTGTCATTGATGGACATTTGGGTTGATTCCAAGTCTTTTCTATTGTGAATAGTGCCACAATAAACATACATGTGTATGTGTCTTTATAGCAGCATGATTTATAATCCTTTGGGTATATCCCCAGTAATGGGATGGCTGGGTCAAATGGTATTTCTAGTTCTAGATCCTTGAGGAATCGCCACACTGTTTTCCACAATGGTTGAAAAATAAATTTTAATCATTTTTCAATTAATAATAAGATGCTCAATAAGTTTACCTGTCAGTGCCAGGTAAGCAGTTGATAGAGAAGTGCATCTTGTGCTCAGTTTAAGCCCAGATGTGTATTTCTTGTCTCTCCTAGGTGAAGCAAAAGCACAAAGAGATGTTTCTTTTCTATTATTTAATTTTCCTCTCTAGTAATTCTGTGTTTTCCCTTTGACTTTGGTTCATTTATAGCCAATAACTTTGCCATTCCATAGGGGAAAAAGTGGAAAGAACAAAAGAGTCTCGAATCCAAACAATTTCAAAATCCAACCATTAGGTTTCAAGGCCTGGGAATATTCTATGACTTGAGACTCCTCCCTTTGATCGCTCTGATCCTATGACTTCACCTGGGGTCATAAATCTGCCCTCTGGCCTCTAGGTTCTGCCCTCAGTCATTGTTCCTTTATTTTGAATGGTAGCATATGTTTACAGCTGAGTAGTTTTATCAGCCTACTTTCTCCTGTCAAATTTTGGGAGTCCTATGGCCTTCTTTCATTTCTTCCTTAATTTGTCCCTTTCAGTCTAACCTGGCATTGTTTCTGCTGATATAACATTCTCAAAAACTTATAGGTCTTTTATGTATGTCATGGGGATTCATGTAATTAGACAAGAGGTTTCTTCAAGATCCCTCATAGACAATCCCTTGCTTATTCTGAGAAGCACACCCCATATCTCTTCAAAACACCATCTGTGTGATTGAATACTTTGATCTGTTGATCCCTTAAAGGCACTAGCAAAAGGATGTCTAGCCATGCCCTTGATTTTTTCTCTGGAGGATGATTTCGTGGCAATGAATTTCCTAATTTTGGTGTCTTTTTGCAATCTGGATAGGCTGAAAATTTCTCATATCATTGAATCCTGCTTTCTTTTTGCTTAACAGTTCTTCCCTCAATTTATGTCTTTCCTCTAGCATTTTACTATAAGCAGCAATAAAAGCAGGCCATTCATTTAATCCTTTGCATGAAAATCTGCTCAGCTAAATATTCAAGTTCATTGCTTACAAGTCCTGCTTTCCACATAATTGTAGCGCACAACTCAGCTACGATTTCTGATGCTATCTAACACAAACTCCCTTTTCCAATATTATGTTACTAATTTCTTTCTAAGCCTTCACCAGCAACACCTTCGACATTTGATCTCTATCAATAGTTTGTTTATGATAATTTAGGTGTTCTCTAAGACAATATAGACTTTCTCTACTGTGCTCCTCATGTCTGAGCTCTCACCAGGAACACTTTGAACATTCATATTTCTACTAATGATCTGTTCAACATAATCTAGGGTTGTTATATAATGCTCCTGAAAATTATTCCAGTCTATAGCTATTATCCAGTTGCAAAACCACTTCCACATTTTTAGATATTTGTTATAGCAGCAACCCACTTCCAGGGACCAAAAATTGTAATAGATCCCTATGGCTGCTATAATGCTGTAAATCTGGTAGCTTTAAAATACATGCATTTAGTATCTTTCAAACCTGGAGGTCAGAAGTCCAAAATCAGTTTCACTAGGCTGAAAATAAAGTGTCAACATTGCCATGCTCCCTCTGGGGACCCTAGAGGATAGTCTGTTTCCTTGTCTTTCCCAGCTCCTAGAGCTGCATTCCTTATCTCATGGACCCCTTCCTTCCTATTTACAGCCAGCAGCATAGTATTTTTCTTCAGTAGTCACATTTCCTTCTTCTGTGTCAAATCCACCTCTGCCTCCCTCTTTTAAGAACATGTGTGATTGCCTTTAAGTTCTATCAGATAATACAGAATAATCTCCCATCTTCCACAATCATCTCTGTGAATTCTCTTTTTCCATATAAGGCAACATTCATAAGTGCAAGGGGTTAGGATCGAAGTACCTTTGGGGACCATTATTCAGCTTACCATGGGAGTTATTCCCAGGAAACTCTGGCAGGGAAGAGAGGAATTGAGACAGAGAAGGAAAGGAAGCAAACAAAGTATTTGTTATCAAGCAGCTAATGTTACTGAAAAACTTTAGAGAACGATGTAGAAAACACATCTTCCAGGGGGCAGATGATGCCCCACTGTTCTGGACTGTCATATTATTGAGCACAATGGACTCTGGTGACCTAATGAAAGGTCTCACACAAAGAAATAAAGGCTCTGACATTTGAAAGTCAGGCAAATATCTACTTAAATGGTATGAGCTGTTGGAGTATGGACAGGGCACTGACAGCATCTTCTACACCAAGAAATGTTTGTATACCCTCCTAATAAAGCCTTTCATTTTCTTCTTACCTCATGCCTGCTGTTTCATCCTTTCATGTAGCTACCTGGCATCAGACACTGAGGAAGATGCTGGATAGTCAATGTTAAGCAAAATAGGTATTATCTCATCTGTATGAAACATTCAGTCTAGTAGGAAAGACAGATTTTAAAACAAACACCCAAACAAATATGTATTTCAAACTTATTGTGCACGATCAAAAGCAGTTTATAAACTTTAGCACTATTGACATTTTGGACTGAATAATTCTTTGTTTTGTGGTGGAAAGGCTGCTCCTGGTATAAAAGGACAGCAGTACCTTGGCCCCTATCCACTAGATAGTAGCATCTTCCGGTTGTAATGCCAAAAAGTAGCTAGGGGACAAAATTATTCTCAATTGATAATCACTTATTTACATTTAAAATGTTACTTTAAGATGTAGTGAGGGGATGTAATTTACATAGGGTTATGAAGGAATGTCGAAATGACATTGAACCTTAGAACTGTCACAAGAATAAGGAATGAGTCAGAGAAGTGGTAAGAAAAATAAAATTCCAGAAGGTAGCATGGATAAATCCCCAGACTGGTAAAGTATTTGGCGTGTTTTAAATGAAAGCTAGTAAGTATGCTGAACCTGAGTGCAAAAAATGAGAGTGGTTTAAGATGACCTTGTATTCGTCCCCAAGCAATGAAGAATCTGAACTTACAGACGTCCTGGCACTTGGATCCATCTCTCAAATGTGAATGAACATGAACATAATTTATGTATTTTTATGAACTATTGATAAAACACAAAAAGATTCTGAGAGGGCAAGAGTGCAAAATAAATGATTGTAATACTTTATAGCAGATTATTTGCAGAAGTGCCCACAGTTATCCCATCCTCTGTATCTACTCTGAGTATTCATATTTTTAAAATGTGACTTTGCAGCTCATCCAATAAAGACATTGTGCTGACCTTCTCACCTCTTAAATCTGAGCTGGCCTTCCCACATACTTAGAAAAATAAGATGGGGAAGTGATGGTGGGATAGTAATGGGCCTGGTTCCCAAAAAACTTTGTACTCTTTCACTCTCACTTTAAACATCTACATTTGTCATGTCAACAAGCATGAGCTAACTTGCTGGAGGACGAGAGACCATGTGGACTGAGTCAAGTCAGTCCAGTTGTCCCCTCTAAGGTCTGAGATAAGTGAGCCCAGCCATGATCAGTGTATTAGTCCGTTCTCATGGTGCTATAAAGAAATACCCGAGACTGGGTAATTTACACAGAAAAGAGGTTTCATTAACTTGCAGCTCTGCATAACTGGGGAGGCCTTAGGTAACTGACAATCATAGCAGAAGGCATCTCGTCAAAGAGTCGCAGGAGAGAGAATGAGTGCCACCAGGGGAAATGCCAAACACTTATAAAACTGTCAGATCTCATGAAAACTCACTCACTATCATGAGAATAGCATAGAAGAAACTGCACCCATGATTCAAGTACCTCCCACTGGGTCCCTCCCACCACACCT